CTTCTGGAGCAAAAAAAAAAAAAAAAAAAAAATGCGTGCTCCTGAAGGCAAACCAGACGAATCGTTGGTAATTGTCTCCTTAGTAGCCGGCCTGGTGGTGTGCAAGGTGCCATGGACTTGCATGACATATCCAACGACTTCGGCAATAGACCTTTTCACTAATAAATTCATAATTATGCACGCATGGGCACAAATGGCCTTGGCGGCAAGAAGCGTGAGCACCATTGAAAATGTACCGGGGTGTGACTTTGAGGATCATTTTCTCTCAGGTTTTCTGGCTTTATTTAGTTTTTTCTACAGAAAATCCCATTAAATCGTGTTTGCTATTAGTTTTTAATTTAAGATGAATTATTAGTGCTCTGTAAAATGACTTTATAATTGTAATTGTTCCTGTGCGCAAGAGATCGCCGTTTCTTAGTATGGCCCCCTTCCGTCATATGTATTATAAATTACATTATTAGTGTTCTTGGAGCCAACCTCTGCATTTTTAAAAATACATACTGGTGTCCAGTGTACATGTACCTGTACTATACCCATTGGATTCGCTGCTGAACTTGGGAAACTGAGAACAAGGTCTTGTACAACTCAAACACAACAACTGGATACCATTTTTTCAGTAGAACTTCAAGCCATGACCAAGTTCAAGGGTAAGCTAGCTATGTACACCAGGCACGTACAGTACACATGTACATCCACATTGAGTACTACAAAAAAGAAATGGTATCCAGTTGTTGTGTTTGGGTTGAACAAGACAAAGTGCAGATTCCAAAGAAACTGGTTCTCAGTTTCTCATGTGCAGAAAGCAGCGAATCGAATGTTTATAGAATCGGTACAGGTACAGGTTGGCTCCAGGAGCATTAGCAATGTAATTTATAATACATACAATGGAAGGGGGCAATACTAAGAAACGGCGATCTCGTGCGCAAAGGAAAAATCACGATTGTAATCTGACAACATGACTTCAACCTCCTTGGGTCAGAAGTTGATGTTAACAACAACGTCTATTAAGGGATCCCATTTTTAGTCCAATCCGATCGTCGGCCATCAACCATTATTCGTCGCTCGCTGTCTGTCGCCCGTCGCACTTCGCCCATTGTGTTTTAATTATAGCATATATTTCCACTGTGAATATCAGTCATGTGCACGGCAACACATATTAACAGGTCACGACATGTGCAATCAGGCTGCGCATGTGTCATCCACTCGAGGGTCAAGCAGTCAAAGGTCAACTTCACTGAAGACATTTGTGCCACATACGGAATTCAAAACTTGCACTATGTCGAAAAAGAGGCCCGGAGAATTATTGTCTGGCAAAACTTGAATCGTACAATTTCAAATGGGTGATATAGTTGAACCCAATCAACTAAAACTAAAAACAACACCAAAACAAGCAAAAGAACCCCCAACCTCCGTACAAAACAAAACAAAACAAAAACGAGTCAAGACAAGACGTGTTTGTTTTATTTACAAACACGAGGTGATGTCGATTTCTGGTTTGATGGTGTGACAGAATTTCGATGTGTGTCATCGTAAAATGAACTTGATGTCTTTATTTATTTATTGCAAGATGACATCTCTGAAGTAAATGCGTATTAAATAATTAAATCAAATAATAAAAAAGGAAACTGATTATCTCAAAATTGTCCTCTTGGTAACTTATGGAAATATGAGGTCGTTATTTTGAAACTTCACAAAATCATTTGTTTGTGTCTAAGAAGTAGTTTTGTCCACTTTTTCATGAAATTATGGCAAAATAAATCTCAATCTAAACCCCCTGTCTTTCAGTACCACAAGAGGGCGCCCTATCACGTTATGACAAAAGCACATGTGCGCACTGTACAACTCATAACATTTTAGCAATTTGTTTGTATTAGAATCCTTCTTTTAAAATAGCAGCCTTCCCTTTGAGTTATGATCTAATATTACTGTACTTCCAATTACCCCTGAAGTCGGGGTTACGTGACTTTTCGTTGCAATTAGTTGTGTTGCCCAAGATCTAGGGTCTATTTGGGACCTATCGGGTCACGAAATACGAAGGTGCCAATTCATTCTATTCCAAAGCTATCCATGTAGTAGAAAATATTTCTTTTAATTTGGACTTACACTACGTTTAATTTGATATCAGGTGACGTTATAGTGACATCACAAAAGAGTACAAATCTCAAGATCTGTGATTGTGTTAGTTAAGAGTTTTCACATTGATAGTCTAAATGATTGTTTGGAAGACGGTGACCAATGTGTAGATGTGAGGGATTGTTTTAATTAAGCATTATTATTCATTTACCTAAATCCTCACCCGTTATAAACTCCAAAATATAGGTCGGATTACACCCAAACACAACAGTTACTCAGACAAAATTTTGACCGTCTAAAGATCCGTCAGATATCAATACATAAATGTCATACCTAGGCCAGTTTACTAAGATACAGCTGGCAGAAGTTGATTATTTCCAGAAACTATAATCGCTTATGATTCGCTAAATGACACGTGACCTCACACTTGTTTGCACATTTAGGGATCAGAGTTGATGTTCGTGTCAAGTTGCAAACGTATACAGTATACCATCTTGGAGAAAAATTGAGGGGAAGTATCATCTATGGGAAAAAAGACAGACGGACCATTACAATCCCACAAGCTGACCCAGCAATCCTTAAAACAATCTTCATTTACCCTGCCCCGTCTCAAAACACCGCTGTTTAGATGTACAACCCTGACACTACGCTAACCTAATGTGATTTACACCTTGGGATAAACCTCTTCTAAGGCGAGAATTTAGAGTAGAGTAACAGCGCCCTCTTTTGCTTCACAAAGGGAAAGGGCGTTTCCATGCTTCTATATGGGGCGTGTAACATGTTACACGTAACACAGTAACAAGTTTATGACTTCAAAACAAAAACTAGCAACATGTGATTGTCCACTAAAATCGAAAGAACCAGAGACAGTTACGTATTGCGATAGAAACAAAGGGCCTGTTTGTTTCACATGGATCTGAACCTCGATCAGTGATCCTAACGCTGGTTCGCACCATCCATTAGGCGAATTTTGGTGTCCGTAAACCAACGACGATTAATTGATGATGATCCAGATCCGTGTGAAACAAACACGACCAAATGATTTTGTTCACAAACAAAAGTTTACTTAATACCCTGCAAGTTCCTTATTGCTTTCTCTCTCTCTTCATTTTCTAAAAGAAAGTACCCATTGTGTCTCACTTCATCGAACAACAAAATTGGGGGATATTAAATTCATTAAGTTTGAAGATGGCAAAACCCTGTGTTCTTATTTTCCACCATTTTGGACCGGCCATGAACTAAATCCAACTTGGTGACGTCACCAAACACTAACCCACTGCAATAACCAAAGATAAAACTTATTTGTGGTTTGGGTCGCCAAAACCTTCCCCTGAATACGCCAAGCAATTCAGCCAAATACCCCTTCTTTTCTCGGTTAAAAAGGGCCAGGAAACAAGAACAAAATTTTCGAAATAAAAACAGTTATCTGGTGCCATAAACTCCAGGGATTTTGGCGACGCCCTCTTTAATTGATTAGGCTCATGGAATGCTACCCTGCAGTTTCTTGCACCAACCAACGCACCGTGCATTTGTGACACATGGATATATTTTCCTGCAGTCGAGGACATCCTACTGTTTTCCTTTTGGTTACACTTGATCTTTTTTCCGAGGGGATCCTCAATTATTTATTTATGATTTTCCAATGGGGGCCTCAACTCCCTCGTGAACCGTCTGTCCAATAATTGTTCATCTAATTGCAGAAACAAAGTCACAAAGATGACACTGTGCCTTTGCTCTCATTTTTGTAACAAGCGGGAGACGGTAAGAATTTTTATGACTGGATTAACATAGGATCGTTGATGAGTTTATCACCATTCCTCACATGTCCATCGTACGTCGTTGGGCCGTGTCACAAGCTTTCAGTTTAACTCTGGAACCAAACATTTCCTCGTCAGTGTTCATTGAGGAAATGTTCATTGAGGAAAGATGATACATACTCAAAAGGATTTACCCGGCATATTTCAAACTGAATTACGTCCCCAGCTGCAGGCATCATTATACACAGTTTTTTGATTGTTTTATTTTGACAGATCCGCCTCATCATAAGCAAACATGTTGTTTTCCCTTCGGACCCATGACTTCAAGGTGTTTTGCCCGTAAAAGCACACTAAGTCAATGTGATGCCTGCCATCCCATCCGTTCAATCTGTTAGCTCAACAGAGAAAAGCAAACTGGACGTCAAACTAAAGTTAAAAGTGGCAACAAAATGGTGTACGAAGAGAAGAGGGGTGTGTCCTCTCGCTCCGAATTTGATGAAATCACGCGATAACAGGAGGATAACAAGGGTGATAATGGATATACGCGACGTTGTATCAACAGTATGACAAGTTGGAGCGATTCATCCGATACTGTCTCGATTGTTTCCACCACGGTTTCGGTAAATAATTCATTTTGCCATGTTCTCCTTGATATCCTACATTGGAAATAATGAGAATCCTCCGCACTGCAGTAACAGAAAACCCATACTAATCAAGTTGGTCCGTCTGTAATAATGACTTATTCCCATATCAAAACAAGGGGCTGATTATACCCTGTGAGAAACCTTGTGCGCGGCATTTAGCCTTTTGAAAAAAAAATGTAGACTCAATGCTCTGCATGTTGGCCAACGGCAACGATATTTGACATAATTATCATGACCAAAAATAACTGATTAGCACCATACTTTAATTAATATTTATTTATCAAACACGATGTAAGGACTGGTGATCTTTTTATCAAGTCGTTTCGATTATATCACCAAAGAAACCCAAAAAAGACAACCTTTCCTATTGTACGTGTCCTATCTTTGCCCTTTTGGGAACATTTTTCTTTTGTCTGTTATTAAAATGTTATTTCACATCTTCTACCTTCGAAATGTGAGGCTTTGCAAAAAAGAGTACAATTCCAGTGAAAAGTCATCGATAGTGTTCAAGTTTTCGTGACAGGTTTTTTTTTTTTTACCGTGCTGAAACCATGCACAGTTCTTAAAAACTGCACAAGTACCATAACTTCAAAACCTCAAACACTGTCAATCTGACATCACCTTAAGAATTTCTTTAAACATAATTTCCGAGTGCGGGATCAAAAAGGAGACAATGACGACGAAGGCTAATAATCATACGACACATACATATATGTAGTCCAGGAAACGAGAAATCATGTAATTCTGTCAATCGTAAACACGACCTCATGGACAATTGACCAGAATAAATACTATATAACAATTGCAAATAAACAAACAAGTCACAGGTGTTCGAACTTTTTCAATTTCATTCCCCCCTGGGAAATTGCCCCGGCCCATCGTTCCGTCCAAACCAATAGATTCAAGGCCATCAATGTTACTCTCATCTATATTCAGAAATCCCAAGTCCTCAAGGCAATGCTGAGCCATAAATCTTAGAATGAAGTAAAGTTTGTGAAATATATATCTAATTTTGGTTGGAGAGACTTTCAAATAAAGCAATCAAATATCAAATCATATTCATTTGTAATTTAGGAAAGTGCAAGTATTATATCATCTTTATCAATAAACCTAACTCGAAAACATAGTATATGCCAGGCATAGACGATTTCTCATGGAGTTGCCGATTGATATGTCTTATATATGCTTTTCAGTGAAAGAAAACATTAAATGACACTTAATGAGTTTTACGTATGACTTAGTCTCTGTACTTTACACGGCATAGTCCTGAGGGGGCTGGCTATGCCATGTTGCAGAAGCAATGAAGTTTTACAAGCCCCTTTTAGTTACTGCTTAACAATACAATACAGGTGTGGTGAGAGACTTCACTTCGGCATTAGAAACGGATGGGCAAAGCCTCCATCCCTCCTTCAAGAAAAGCAATTCACAGGGTATGTCAGTTAAGATAAGACAAGGTAAACACAAGAAAAAGCAAGACAATAATTAACTTTCTATATTAAGTACCGTTCTTGAAAGGATATTAATTATATGATCTCTAAATTAATTTTATAATTTATGAATTATATCTATAAAAGAGAGATACCAACTGAAACAAAAGTAAAAAATGAATAGGACTCTCCAACCCTAAATATCAGTTGCAAGTTTTCAGTTGTGCCAGTCCAAGGACTCCTAATCAATAACTATTCCTTTTGTATACCCACTTTGCTAAATTGTTCTTTTTGCATTTGACAGTCAAAATGACAGTACATAAATAAACTTAAGAAAACTATATACTTCTCGAAAAATTTGGAATAATGAGCCCATCTTGCAATAAAAACCCAATGTGTCACGGAAAAGTATTATGAGCCGATAACACCAAACACACAAAATGAACCAAATTCCCAAAGAACTGTACTTTTTTGTACTTATTCAATACATAAATGAACGTAATTATCTTATTAGCTCTTGGAGTAAAATATAACCTGTTAAGTTGAAATTAAACTACGCCTTAAAGGTGTCAGAAAGGTGACAAGAGACTTTGTTACACCCCCCAAAATTCTTAAACTATTAATTTCCAAAAAGAACCTGTGGTACTCTCTTGTGAGATACCATACAATCATGTACGTCTAAAACAAGTTCCACATGTATTTGTACCGGAATATTATCAAAGTTGTGACACGAAAATTGCTCGTAGGCCTATGTCAGTTTTAATGACTACAGTCAGACTTCTTGGACATAAAAATGAAAAGTGACATGTTAGGCTTTCCTTGTGGTGTTTGCCATTTTGGAAAAACAACTACAACTATTAACTGTTATATAGAAACATTCAGATAGCGTTTATTGCGCGCGCTATGTTTACAAGAGTAAATCTCATAAAAGAATTTTTTTGGGATAGTCATGTACCCCCAGCAATGCCTAAACATTTTCTTCTACAACTTTCCCGCTTTGGCTTATTTACTGTTATCACTTCTATCATCTAAACTTGTGATATTTACAAAGAACCATAGGTTATATTCCCTAAAATTAACAAAGCTTAAGTCTTCGGTGTCTAATGCAGAGTTTTTTGGCAGTCGCGTCTGTGAGGAAATGGTTAATCTCTACGTCAGTCGGGTCTAATTTGAAAATCTTATGCAAGAAACTGAAGTAAGATCATGAAGGTGCATTTATATCTGTTAACGTCTTGTTCAAATAATTTGTTAACATCATTTGAGGTTTTTTATATTTCGAATATATATATGTTTGGGAAAAGTTTAGAGTAACATATCCTAAATGATATCTTGACCTAAAGAGACCCCTGACATCCTGCACTTATATTTTGTTATCGGTTTGTTACAAGAGAGTTGTGGAAAAAGTCATAATTTTATTTTAATGTCTTTTTCACTGTATAGTTTCAAACAGTAACCCGGTTTTACGATCTTGGTCGTGCAATTTATATATTTTAGTGACACCCACGCGGCTGGCTAACAAGTTCAGCGTAATTTCTACAGAAACCCATTCATTGTGTCCTGTGTTAATTCAGGTTGGCTAGTTGAAAGAAGGTGGTGGAAAACGAATTTGTTAGAAACAAAATTGAAGGACGTGGTCATTTCACAACTGGAAACGCCCACCCCGATGACTGTCAGCTATACGTGTACTAGTCTTCGACTCTAGGCGCACGTTCGTGATTTCTTCTCTCCTGAGGCTCGCAAACAAATCAGGACAGGTTTGTCATTCTTCTTGCCAGTGCAGCGACGTTTAGGCACGTGTTTAGAAGATCTGCAAAGGGGAAAACACATCAAAGAAACAGCAATGGTGAGAACCGTGCAAGTAAATGTGAAGGCATTTTTAGGGGGGCATCGGCAAAACTTCCTGTTTGGTGCGTTCAGGTGGAGAAGCATTTTCGAGACCCGTGATATGTGACCATAACAAAATCAAATCGATTGAAAAACTGACAACAACTTGTTGTTGTTGTTTCTCATTAATCCATCAGTGTCGAGTCCCGATATTGAAATTTTCGATACGTGCACATTGCTGATTAGCCCCAATCGTATTTAAAACATGATAAAAGCCACTTTTCGCCTCTCCGACGAGATGGAATTGGCTTATCGTCATGAAAGGAAATGCAGGTAAGATTAATGGCACGTGGTAGTGTTAATTCGTGGAATATAAAAAGAATCCCATCTTTAAAGCATGGTTGGTCATAATCCACACCTTTATAATACTTGTTTTGCATTTATACCGAATGTCACATCACACCGACTACACACCGTCGCATATGAACGAGGCTTTAGGGCAAAATGTCAACATTCGGAATATGAAAGTAATATATTGTCGTATTATGTAATATGGGTGCCAGGCTAACGGGTGAGGCTCAAGTCGATAACGCGTTGAATGAAACAAACTTAAAAGCTCCAAATTTTGGAAGGAAATTTAATAACCTTTAAAACTGCTACGTTATTGACTTGCCCATTATAATTACCGGCACGCCTTTTAGGTTGGGATTGTGTTGCAGTGGATATTCAGCTCAACTTGTTTCCACGCAAACCTATTACAATAATACTAACAAGATCTAAAGACTTGTGTTTTTTTGGAAGTAGAAAGAAAGTGGCAGTTTTTCAATTCTGAGATGAGGGCGCTATTTTGATGTCATACAAGGTACTCTTTGTCAAACGACCATAAGAAAAGTACAATCTTCAATCCTTCTAACTCATGCATCTACATTTTTGAGGAAATATTGGTCAGTATTATTGTCCAAACAAGCTGTGTAACATAAAAACCAGGTTTGAAGTAGAGGCTTCTCCAAGAAATATGTAGAAAAGTATGATACGTATATCGAATTGTACACAAAGCTATGGAGACACACTTGTTCTGCCCTGACTGACATCACGCCTTGGTTCATGAATATGGAAATACACAAACTTGGTGCAAGAGTGGTCGTAATATGAAAATAAAGCTGTGCTTCGTGTATTTTAGTCATAAAAAATCTATCACGTGGTTCCTTTTAAAACCCAATTTACTAACAGCGTTGGGTGGTTGCATCATATGCACGTCAACGGAGGTGTCGCAACTCACCTTTAAGTTTGTTAGTTTCCCACGTGCCGTCGCTGTTAATTACGTACTGGAGGGCGTGAGGACAGGTTCGAAACACTTCGAACAGCTGGGACACACCTGCGGGGATTTTGATAACGAGGTTTTTTTCGAGAATAACAACCAAATGGAGATTCATTTCACTGGCACAGTTTCACTGAAACTTTGGTATCTCAGATGATAAGGCACCTTTGTAGGCCCTAGTAGTCAGATTTATTAGCTCATGATATCTCATTTCAGATTTGCAATACATCATCGAATTTCCAAGGTTTATTTTTCATGACTTCTGTCATATTGTCAGTCTCTAATATTACTAACGGTAAATCATATGTTTTCAACAAATCTATGTTCCAAAAAGAAAATGTTATTAAGGCAATGGGTATTGACTTATTGCACAATAGATATTTCTTTATGAATTAAAAAAATATTTAACTTTTTGCTTACAATTTTTGCTAGTCAGAAAAAAAGTTGAGTTAATGCTCATCTCACTAAAAAGCGCCCCTCAGTGAAATTGTTCTGTACAGTCCAATGATTTGAAAGCAGTCTTAGTGTGGTGAGTGTTCATCTACTTCTTGGAAAAATTCTTCTCAATCTCTCCCTATAAGATAACCGTGAGCAGCTGTACTTACCGTTGGCAAACTTGTCAATATTGACGACATTGACCTCTGTGGACTGGCCAGGCGATGCTGTGTTTCGCACCTCTTCGCCGCCCAGCTTCGACATCTCGTTGAGGAAGGCATCTTTAGGGAGAAACACATTAAGGAATAGGGAAATTCTACGTTCTCGAGTCAATCGTATAGACTGTCATTAGAGTGGTTTGCTGTCATTGATGAAGTTAATTGGTGGTGCATTAGAGATTACCACTTCTGTTTACTATTGATTTGTGTCGTCACAACCTGAGGCCCTACAGACAGGCTTAAGAACGTAGAAGTTGAAATCACTTGACTTTGCCGTCAATTAAGTCAGAGTAAAATCCATCACTAGTTTGTCGAAAAATCAATTACATTTCGAAAACTGCTTACACAAGAGGAAGTTTATTAAGGGTGAAAAAAGTTTAGTTACTGCTGCTGATATTGCTGTTGATGTAAAACTTGTCTAAAAAAACAAAACAAAACAAAACAAAACAAAACAAAACAAAACAAAACAAAAACAAAACGAAACAAAACAAACCAAAACAAAAAGCAATGAACAGTACCGTCCCAAACACATGTTTTCTACAACTAGCAGAAAACAATCTAGTAAGTACATAGGAATTAAGTATTACAAGAGAAATCCTTAGTTACTTTATGTTTAAGTGTTTAGAGGATTACGCTGAAAGTACAACAAGGAATATTAAAGGGTATTTCAGCAATGACTTTTTTGGGGGGTAGGGGTTTGGTAGGCTGAGCTTTTCTGCAAATTTACACCCTTCTTCAATGTATGAAAACTTCCCTCTGGGTTGAATGTATTGAAAAGTGCGCTTTTTACCATTTATAATTGTTTATGCTTTTCTGGAAAACTGAGACATGATTCAGTAGACAGGTTTCCCTCTAAATTGTGATTAAGAATCTAGGCCCTATACTCACTTGCTCGGTGGTTTATTGCAATATACGTAACAATGAATCACCTAGGAACAGAAAAAGCAGACCAGCAAAACAATTCACAAGGTTTTTTATCCACAATCCAAAGTAATATTGAATTTTTCCATCCAGGACGACATCACAGTTTTGTTCATGAATATGGAAATCCTCAATGGCAGAAAAATAAAGACAGCGAAATACCCTTTAAAACGGTAAAACACAAGTGGAAACTGGGATACATCGGGAGACAAAGGTGACATTTTAAGGAATGCATCGCAATAACTGTTCAAGACCGCCGGGAATTGTGACTGGAAATGTAAAATGGAAAAAAATGCATCGGTGCAGAGGGGGTGGGTGATCGGAGAAGGTCGGTACGGACCACAGCTTACGTTAACTGCACTATAGAAATGACAAGTTGTAGTTTTGCTGTGACTTGTTAGGCCTGCGTTATCAAAGTCGGTATCAAACCGGCTGTTTGCTGTGTGCTTTGGATTCAACTTTCACCGTCGTCTCTTCACAGGCCCTCCATCGGGCTTGCTCGCGTAACATAAAACCCGCGTCTTCGAAACGGGGTCGCGCCGTTACGATACGTAACGGCGGGATAACCAGACGGGCTCCCGTGTCACTCGAATCATACATTATTCACTCTCGACTGAAACTTGCCAACTCTAGAGAAACCTTAAACCAACTCTGATGGGACTTTTGTGACACAGTTACATAAAACAAACACTTGGAGATCTTACTGACGATGCGTGACGGCCGGTTTTTAGGATTTAGCTGCTACACAACAAAGCCGATCAGGGTGTAACTATTTGGCCTGACAACACTGAGATAAAAAAGAAACAACTCGGGCAAATAATTTCCCTGGAAAGGCTCAAGAGTTGAGGGAAGATTGAATTTTTGAAAATGATTTTCGGAGTTCATTCTACTACTGGGCTTCACTACCCACACGACACCCTACGTCATAGTCTGATTGCTAGCGACATAGATCCCGCTTCCGCTTTTGCATTGTGGTGATTTTTTTAAAAAGTTGCACCCCGACATGGCGTCGTAAATCTTTCATTGCATTATGTTCCATCTCGGCCTCTATGTGATGGCTATAACGGACTTACAGTGTATACACAAGAAGAGGATTGTCAGGTCCGTGAACCAGACTACCAAACTCTGTGCCAAAGCAATGATCTATCTGCTCTAGGTGGCCTATAGTGAATGACTGTTAAAGAAACCCCAGATGTTTCTTAGGGTCGTTAGGGTTGCCAAATAGTGAACAAAATAAACATTCTACATTTTGAGGTTTGGGTGACACACAAATCATGGATGTCATGCGTTATACTGTGGCTGAAGTGAACCAGTGAAAGTTTCTTCCTAGCATTTAAAAATTGAAATGGTGTCAAAGCTTTGAATTTTAAAAATCGCCCTCACGTGTCTTTTTAAATGTACTATTCGTGAATACAATGGCCTCGTTCCCATTCGGTAATATTATGGCATAAAGACATACTGAACACTGATTACTAAGCTCTTCGTCAGATTTTCCGTGCGTTGCACACTATTTTCTTTTCTGGCGTAAATTATCTGTTTATATTTGAGATTGCTTGAACTCCACAAATAAACAGAATAGATAAGGACTTGTTAAATACCACTGACCTTTTGCTGTACGGTTACGTGCAATGCGATATGTCAGCCTGACGGCAATATCCGTCAAGCCATACACTTATTGCATTTCTATACAAACAAGCTTTCGTAAAGACAATAACATCTCAAATTCTCAACCTCGCAAGGAGAAGACAAGACGAAACGCGGAATTTTTCTTTCATACAGGGGCGGAAATAAGGGTGTTTTTTTATTAGAGCACTCCCGTCCAGGGGTACAATGTACTACCCAATAAGGGGTATCCAATGGGAGGGGGTGGGGTTGGGGAGCACCTGCCCCTCTGGAGACTTTTTTTAGGCATCATAAGCACCAACACCTCAGAAACGGTACTGACATCATTATTTTTGGAAGGGCAGGATTTTGGAAGAAAATTAGGACAATCGCCCATCCCTGAACTCGAAAATACACCACTGTGTAAGAAAAAAACAAAATACAGAAAATATAGTTACAAATGCGCCACTCGAAAAAGAAATTCACTACTGTTTGAATTTTATGACGTGATACAAGTACATATATCTTACCTTGGACGTCTCTCTTGCCGATACCAACCGTCGAGTGCATCTTGGCCAGCCTTGCAACGGAATTGGGTGTGGGCCTATCTCGCTTGTTTAAAACAAAGGCATCTGTGAGGAATTAAAGGCGAAGTAAAATTCACTGAAATGTTCAAAGGATTCTCTTATCCGCCACACCACGAATACGTTTTAATACCAGCAAATCTAAATAATCTCAGATCTCATTTCGGGGACTTGCTGTTTTCCTTTTAGGTTAATGCAGATCATTCACGTGCGTTATTTTCAAGGTCAAGCTCCCCTTGCCCTCTCGGGAGGGAAACAGGTTTTCACGGACCACTCGCATTGCACCAGCCGAAGGCGATAATCAGGTCCATTTTTTTCAAGAGTGAGGACCTTCTTCATTACGGTTTCATAGGGCTGGCATTTTTCGCTTGACCTTTTGTGTTAATGCATATGGTATTAGGCCCATATATTTGGTTCGGAAGAATGTGCCCGCGCTGGGTATACTATATGCGATATGACTGGGTGCAAGGCTGGAACGTTTGAGAATTGTATCATGCCAAGTTACCGTCATTCCAGTGTTGTAGTCGAGTACTTTCCGAGTACCAACGTTCTTTGCAAAATACTGACCTGGGTAAGAGGGAATTACGCCAGAGGGCACAGGCATTTGATGGTAAATGTGCAAAGGTGAGATTGCAAAATAAATGTTAGACTTCAGACATTCCCAGTTGTGTAAAATTTAAGTTTTAAAGAAAAAAAGTACCCGGAAAGTACTCGGCCGAGTAAACTGCATTGAAAATGTTTCCAGACCCATTCTAGCTCGTGCCCCGTACGTTTTTCAGTCAGGTTTCGTCACGACCTCGGTGGAACAGAAAATAATCTCAATGCTCATCGCCCTGAAAAAGAGAAACCTGATTCAGGCTAGATTTCCTGAAAGCAGTGTTTTCGCAATTTCTTTGGAATCCAGACTTATTCCCTAAAGAGGGGCAGGCAGTCACTTTTCGCCAACAACCGGCCTTGCATCTGATCTGATGACGGAACAACTGCTCTGAAATACCATCGAACTTCTATGGGCACTCCACGCAGGGACTTGCGTTAGCAACCGATCGCGTTACGGTGACTCAGCCCTTCGTTTTTGGCCCGATATTAAAACATAGCCTAAGTAGCTAAATCCGATTAATTCGTAAACCGTCATTTGCCTGCTAAAGTGCCCACCGCGAGACAGAGAAAGAGAGCGGGAAAGAGTGCTCTAAATGTCCAATACGACGACCTATTTTATCAGATCGCACATCCATTTACGAGCTGATCTGTGGACGATTTAATAAAATCACACCTACGGCGGAGTGGGTGAAGAAACACGTTCAATTACATCGACAAGCTTGCGGCTTTTTTTACAAAACAGGAACGCTGATAATTGATTTGACTGCGGCAGTATGTGACAGTAAGAGGATCGAGGGCTGCAAAAACTGTGGCAAATTTGGAGGATAACAGGCATAATGGTCTTAAATTGGATATTGTGTTTCTTGAAGTTGATATCATCTTCAACGCCCTTCCATGCACTCGTTTCTTTACAAACATATTCCCAAGTCTGCGAACGCTAAACAATCGGGAGCCTATTCTTTGTACCTTATCAGTCAAATATCTTTTCACATTTTATGTTTTTGAACATAGATTTGATCCTCACGGAAATTTTTAATTGATCAACAGTAAAAAGTTAGACAGCCATTCTTTGATTAAAAACATTAAACAACGAAATCGGTGAGGATTTATTGTTGAAACCAACCCGACTACCTAACATCGTTTAAAAACAAGGCTTTTGAAGCAAAATGCCGATATTGAGACAGGTGGAAGTGATAGACTTTCGTATTATCTGATATGGGTGCCATGCTTATCTCTGACCTTCAAGTCGACGAACGCACTGAACTTGGCTGAAAACGCATTAGCCACCACACTGCCCCCCTTTGGTTCTCGCAACCCCCCGCCCATTATAGTAGAAGCTGTGTGTCATGTGCCTGTTATACTGCCTTAACGGCACGCTGCGTATTGGTGATAACTGAATTATTGGGCTTCATCTGTTAATAGCGGAGGAAGTCATGTAGGGTTGTTATAAAGCACTAAAAAGTCTAGAGAAAGTGCAGAAAATGGTTGCCAAAATTTGATCAAAACAAAAAATTATTATATTAAAGACATTCAACTTGAGCTTTTCGAGTGAATGTTGGTTGAGTGACACGAAAAGGACGTTTCATGGCAGTGTAATTCTTAATTTGTTAAAATTGAATATATTATGTTCAATATTATTAATAGCGATAATGATTAACATTCAAAGTTTGAGACTGATCAATAGTGAGGAGTGAAACGCGGTATTTTGAGTAATAGGCATATGATGCCGAATCACCAGTGGCGTAAATTTAAGCCGGAAATCGGGGGATATACGGGGATTGGAATTTTTGAGGGGGCTGACTTGCCCAGTCATGGAAATTTGAAAAGGGGGGGGGGCTGACACCATATGAAACCATATAGGAAGCGATGTTCATGAGATGTACATCTTTAATATATATTACATTCCTATACAGTCTAACATCAGAATGCCATATTTATGGCTTCGTATGTTCCCCCTTCTTTGAGTGATATTGAATATATTTTAGTCGTTGGGAAGTCCGAAAAATTCGTCACAATGCGCTTTAATTTTTTTGCTCACCACAAAAAATACCCCCTTTACTTTACAGCCATGCAAATCACTGTTTTCTTTTATTTTCTCATATTAATCTGTTCCAGAGGGGGAACAAAACTTCCCAAACGCTTGTTTTGATAAATAATTATTTCATTTTCAAAAGTTCTGACCTCAGTAAGTAATGACATTCAAATGAATGTTATATTTTTATTCGGTGATTCTTTGAAGCCAAGTTACGCTACACAGACCCTCCCTCTTGTCATTGGTAATGCTTTGATTTATCACGGGCAAAGCCACCGGAAATACAATCCTATGAATAACTGACATCAATTTGCCTCTACTTGTCAAAGAAATGTCGAAAACATTTAGGTCTCTTGATTGGAAAAAGGTTTGCAAAAGGCCAGTATGCGAATGCCTGCAGGTCATATTCGAAGCGCAGGGTTAGGGAAGCGTGTTGGTTGTTAGTAAAAAAAGAATTAGTCTTTCAAATACTACCGTTCAAATAGTAGCTTGCTCTGTATTCTGCCAATACAGACCAGGCTGACTTAAATTAGTTTGCGATAGTAACCGTCACGGATTTCGGACAGCCTGCACATATAAATAAATAAAACAAAAAACACTTGACGCCCCTAGGCTGGTCATTAAAACGGCTAAACAACACGAGTGGAAACTCTTTTCGCATTAAATGTCTTCAGGAACTTCAGATGGTGGTAATGATTACACGTACTTGCGGATATGTGGTTGAGTGTAAATTCTCTTTGCTTCGAGGAGATAAGACATCTACAAGAAGAGAGGAGGATGTATACATTTGCCCCTTGCTTGCTATAACACATTGTTATTGGCGGGAATTCTTTAGGCCAAATTTTTGAGAGGGCAATGGGAACGTTTTTACTTCTGTGAAAATAAACCGCAGATTGTATACTATGTGTCTCCATCATGAACTCACCACAAAGACGTATCAACCAACACAGGATTATTTTCATCCAATAAATTGCACCGAGAATTACTTTCTGCAGTCTATCACAGAAAAGAAGAAAAAGCCAAACATCTTTTGTGGTAGAAATTAGCAGGCGCAACTACGAATAGCAAGTTCGCACGTATCCCATGAACCCTGGGACAAACAATAGACTCTGACGTCATGAATGACGTCGATGCACTCTTCCCTCGCCCCTGTGTTATTCCTACCAATCGATAACAAACGGTAGACCGTGCGTCAAGATTTCTTGCAATCGGCGATAAGTATGCTATAATTATTGTCACGGAGGACCAACCCTTACGAGCATATTTAATTTACCAGTGCAAAAAGCAAACCACGGGATTGCCAAGGGCACTGGACTCAACATAGGGGTCAAACCTGACGAAGGCTCTGTCATACTCCTCACACCAACGAACACTCCTGTTGCTGTTAAAACTGAAAAACTCCCATTTGAACACCTGCGCGCTCTTTATTTTCAATAAACGAGATAGTTTGCAGACTGACAGGAGAGGGCAGGTTTCTTGTGAATTTGGTAATCAAATAAACCCAGTCATTTTCAAAGAAACACAACAGCGAAATTGCCAGCATGAACAAGCATAACATAAATTTAATTTCTTAGTTAGGAACTTTGTCTGGAGAAGATGCGATCACGTAAACTCATTATTGTAAACGCAAGCCTTGGTTGATTGCTACAAGAAGAGTTACAACTTCTCGTTATACTGTGACATTATACTAGACAAGAGCTTTCAATACCGAGCCGTACTATCGAGTGGAAACATTAGTAGCGAAACTTCACCTGTCTAAACCGTTTGTACATGTCAATAGAAGTGGCCGAGTGAGCCGCTGAGGTATCACTCATCTACAAGAAAACAATACCCCAAAGAGGAAAAGCCCTTACAGGTTATCAACTTCTTGTTTTTATGCTAGGTGCGTTACCATACTCAACTCAAATGACGTCCATTGTCGGGTTGGGCTGAAGTCAAACTTTGACAATCTGCGCAATCATCAAACTGAAATTGTTGAACTGCATGGTTCTCCATACCTTGGCTAAGAAAGGAAATGCACAACTAATCACCCACATGTGCGAAGACAATGGGAGACATGGAGAAGCTGGTGCACGCAGCAGACATACCGTTCCTTTTTTTCACAGTACTGCGCGTGCTCAGAACTATTCACGCATGATCAAAACAACGCACGCGTACTCAGAACTGGTATAAAAGGACCACTCTATTTGCCGCCACCAAGTGGCTGAAAGCTTCCCATTATAATTAAACCACAGGGATAGATTGAAGATTTGCTACCGTGGGATTTTGTTCGTAGGGGTGTTACTACATGCAGTTGTTGCCGTCGGTCAAGCCATAAAATTTCTTTGTTTTGTGCTTTAAGTGATAAGGAAAAGGCTTCAAACATTTCGACATCTGGGGATTTGGAGGTAGATGGGCCACCCCAAAAAGCAGTATACAATGGATGTATCTCCTGAAAATCAACGCGAGAAAAATAAGAGGCGATTTCTTTCCACAACCAGCTGGGCCGATTTCGGAAACACGCGAGGCCAAATTTTGTGTTTTTATCGGGTTGATGACGTCATTTGGGAGAAAGGCACAACAGGCATGCATGAAGCATGCATGACGATACATGTAAACTGGCGAGAGAGCACGTCGTGTTCACGTGCAGAGTAGCAACAAACTATTCATAGAATAACTGGGAGTCGGGTTGGCAAGGTAGTTCTTTCCTCGCCTTCCACCTCTGCGCTCCGGGTTCGATTTTCAGTCGCTACCTGACTCCGTGGGTTTTACCCAGACTATTCCTCTGGGGTTTTCCTCCCACCTCTAAAACTGTAACTGCTTCTTACTGTCTCCCCTTTACTGATGTTGGTGAATGTGGGTCGTTTGGCGGCTGCCTGAGGCGCTCTTGTATGCCATCGGCTCAATCACGTTTAAATGTATTAATTGTTCCACGTTAATGTCTTCATTGTACAGCGCATTTGAACATATCTATATGAAATTTGCGCTTTGTTAATAAATAAATTATTGTTATTATTAATATAATTATAATTATAACGCGGTCAGCTTAGGAGTCAGTACCCAGACCTGAATCTTGGGCTGAATTGCGAGCTACCTCGTAATGTGTGTACACGTAGGTTGTAAAAAGAAATCAGCCCACGTGTGGGCTTGTTAATAACTGCCAAGTCTACAATTTTTAATGTGTCGAAGAAAAAGAAATAATTTTTACCGCTAATGGGTCATTAGGGAGACATTCCCATAATAACATGCACAAAATTTTCCAACTTTACTGTCCCATAATTCAGATCGTGCATAAAATTTGTCCAACTTTACTGTCCC